CTGAACAGCTACTGTTATCAGTGCTTTTGACCAGATTGATTGACCTATTGTTGAGATTTGAGAATTTGATTTTTAGTTGAGCTACTACAGGATGCAAATAGTCGAAAATGTTTTTTGTTGAAAATAATGAAATTTCCAAGTTTACAAGGCAAATCGTGACCCAAGAGCATTTCACAGTTGTATGAATTCAGCTGGAACTTGAAACAGTACAAAGTTTCAGTACGAAGAGAGGAGATGAGGAATACAAGAACATGAAACGTGTTAGTGATCTTATGTAGCACCCTGCATTGCCAGAAGGAGCCTGTGTCACGGAGAGAACCCAGTTATGAACAACATGTGATTTTATGTCAATTAACATTTCAAGATAATTGTCAAATTATCTCTCAAGAATACATGTCTATTGTATCTCTCTTCTGAATTTATTCTCAGTATCATGTGTCTGTCATCAACTTACGTAATCTGATCTACCTTCAACCAACAGATCTAGTCTTTTTTCATATGGATTTATTCAACACTTTTGTATTCATTTCAATCTTAATAATCTCATTATCTGTAAATAATAATGAAATGTTATTGATTACATTGATTATATTGAAACCCTGAAACCTATCATAAGAATGCTTACATTCCAGCATTCAGAATTCAATCGCTATTATTGGGTTGTTGAGGTCGCAGTAATAATTATATAAATTCCGATCATATTTAATATAAATGCAATTTAATCGTATTATACTCATTTTTTTAATTTGTAGTTTTATTTATTACTGCTTAAAGCCTTGAACAAATTTCATTTGAACATTGGAATACATTCAGCTGAGGAATAATAAATTTTAATCCGCAAATAAGCTTCGTTATTTATAATTATAATTAGCATTAATTATTAACTACAGAAATTTTCAATCATGGGAAATAGATATTAAAGGTGACTAAATCATAATCGTGATTGTAATTTATAATTCTCAAGCGAAAAAATGTTTGTTTTCATTGTTAGCAACAACACCTGGAAGAATTCACTTCTTTTATTAAATATTACCCTTACCCTATGTCATTAATATTCATAAAAAAAATTTTAACAAACAAATTTCTGTAATTTTTATAAACAAACGTTAATTAGCTTTTTTTCTTAAATAAAACAAATTTTCCAACACACTAAGTTTCTCCATATTTATTCACCTGATTTCCATATCTCCGTTATTTATCAAGGCAAGTATTTTGTCCAAGGCAAAAAATTTATAAAAATAAAAGAGTTATGAAGTAGTAGCGATGGTAGTAAATTATTCAAGTCGTCAACAACTCCGTAATGTTATTCTTTATCTCACTGTAGGTCTGATTATACTGTGACTTTTACTACTGTGGCTCATACGTTCAGCTTTGTCTCTATTCTTCTGAAGGATCGTTACATTTATCAGAGTCACAGGACGCTAACTCTGTCTTGCTTTTGCACGCAATCGTCATTCTCGCCTCGTAGCTATTACACGCGCGTGTAACATACGTTCTCTGTCGCATGAGCGTGAGTGACTGCTGTATTCAGTGCAGTATCATTTGTACAGAAGAGAGTCATGCAAATTCATCGTTTTATCTTCATACAGCAGAAAAGTACCTTTTTACTCTACGTTTGATGTTACAATCGCTTTCAATACTTCATGTAATCATCAACAGATTGTGTACAAATAAATCAATATTTAATGAAAATAAATAGTAGCATTTATTTTCCTTTTCATAAAATTATTTTTCGAATTATCTTTCTTCCTTTGATATTTCAAACGCTTTCGTAATAGACCTTTAGATAAAAACGCATTATTTTCATGATATTTTTTCATTAAAAATATGAAATTTCCATGCTTATTTATATTAATTCCACAGATGAGAGCTTACGTGATAAAATGCTTAAGGGATGAAATGAATGTTCTATGCTAAACAAAAAGAAATGTACAGGAGAAACTTATTTTTATTTTTTTTTACTCAATTATTATTACATTTTAATCAGTTATAAGAATAAAGAATAAAAGTTTATTTAGAGAAATGTGATAATTTTTTCTGTATCGAACTTTTTATTGTAAGAAATATTGTAAGAAGAAGTGGTGATATTTTTAGATTTAGGTCAAAATGTCTCTTCAATATGTACATATATTTATTGATTCTTAAGTCAATGACCAAGTATGTGATTTCATCGTTTTCAATCCTCTATTATTTTCTCTTTTTTGTGGAGAAGACGTTATATTTTCTATACAAAGAAAGAAAAAGTCTTGTTTATTTCATTGTGCTTTATCCATCATATTGTACCGTTCTATATTGATTAAACACTCGATTGGTATTTTCTATCCTAAATTGCTTATTTTCTTTCCTGTTAAAGCAATTCTTATCACTATAACATTCAAACTCTGTAGTCTTTATTATTAATAAATTAAAAAAATTTTGATTTTATAATAATAACTTCATATTGTAAAGCATTGATAAAGACAAAGGAAAATTTTCAATTATGTATTCCATCAATACGTCATTATTTCCAAGTTAATAAATTCCTTTTCAGTTTGGAAAATTAAATTACAGGAATAAAGCAATTAAATTTTTTTTTCCAATGAATTAACTTGAAAAGAACAAACAACTTTATTGATTCATGCATTAATTATTGGATGATTTGTCAACAATAATATGAACAAACTAATAAACCATTCTTCTATATCATTTTGTTTTAATTAGATAACTTTGTTTGATAAAAGTTGAAAATATAATTTAAAATGTCATTTGTATTATCAAAATTTAATTCTTCTTCCCGGTTTATCTTAATTTTAGACATCTTTACTACAGCACAACAACAATAAAGTTACCAACTCCACATAGAAGATGTGACTTTACTGTAAATTCTTCTGCTTTCTAACTCACTAAGTTTATAAAACTTCTTTTGAGTTGTCTAGAAAATTTATTTATACTTTACTGAAAACATGTTAGGCTTTAATAACAAAATAGAATTGTTAATAAATAAGTTGCAAAGTTTTTTATTTTGTGCTTCATGAAATAAACAGAACATTTTTACAGAATGTTATTTCGATCCTATTTTTGATAAATAATAAGAGCGAATTCATTAATATTGTATAAAAAAAAAGATTTTATGAATGACGACAACTGACTTGGGAAATTTTTAACATTTTGCTTTTCTTAAGTACATAAGAGATGGATCTATGGTACGCTTGAGATGATCTAAATCCAAAAGAGCTTTTGCCAAGCATTTGACGATCACTTTACGACACAAGTGCATTTTGCACTGAATTTTCCCCTGTAGTAGTTTAAAGTCCTCTAAAGTGATGAAACCACAACATGCAAAGCTTCAGCCTTCACTTTGTGATAATTTAATGTCATTGTCATGTCCGAGGGTTGGTAAATGAGCCATTTCTATCCAAGTCAATTTAATTTTCTGTATTATCCAATCGAGTTTTACAAAACCGAATTCTCGTTCTGCGTGAATCGTTTACATAAACAGTGGTGACTTGGACCAGAAATAAAATTTATCAGTCCACTATTAATATCAGCATCAATAAATTCATGAATGTATAATATTTTGAACAATATAATTATGTACATAAAATATTTAAAAAATTTTTATACCATTTTTCGATTTAGTAAATAATTTTGGCATCCATCAGACTATAGCCACGATTAGTGAATAAAGTTTTTTCTATTATAATACATATTTTATTATATCGTTGTTTGAATATTTTTTTTTAAACATACAATGTGATCGGACAGACCAAAAGTGAAACTTTGATTCATAAATATTATTTTTATTTATTGCAATACATTTACTTCTATAACACTCTTCATGTTAGTATCAAATTGCCTCGAAAAATAAAAAAAAAAATTGTACTTTTTTACTCTATTAAAAAACCAACAAATAATAATGTACAATATAAATTCGATTTCATATTTTAATGTATATTAAAAAAAAAATGTTTTTATTGTAAACATCTGTATTTCAAAACACTTTCATCTATCAAATACCTATAATGTTCCAATTGACATTGGAATAGTACTCGTTGATTAATCAAACGAGTTTGAGAGTTATAAAAGTCATTTCCAGTCAATAGGATCGTTGTGTAGAGCAATAAACACTGTGAAATTTGAATTAACTGGTTGAGAAAAAAATTAATTTCATAGTCTGATCGTCAAATAGGATCGAGTATTAGATATGAGATGTTGTGTGTCCAGTATGATGGGATTAGAAGTAGGCACACAGAGATTCTCTATTGCATTCAACTGACTTGCAAATTACCTTTATGCAGTTTCTAGCTAAATGGTTATAGTGGATAAGCAACGCATTCATTGCAAAGTGCAATTAGTATACTTCTGAGAGAGGAAACGGAAACGATAGTGCGGGATAAGCCGATAACTTCATTACAAAGTATTATAACGCTATAAAGTTTCGTCTTAAAGTGGAGTTTGTCTAAAATTGCTTCGTGATATAAACAGCTGTCGACTATAACGTTCATTTCTTCCTATTCAAACTGTAACGCTTCGTGCACGTTATCTTCTATTACTTTCATAGAATTATAATTGTATTATTTTATAAGTGCTTCAATTTGGTGTATTTTTATTCCATTCCTCGTGAATAAAATGCTTTATCGAAATTAAATCAACCTTTTTTTCGTTCAAATGTATAACATTCAACGATTATCGCTGAAGGCAAGGTTAGATGATGACCATATATACACATTGTTTCCGCACTTATGATATCTAGAGATAGCACAGCTTTAACATATTCTTCTCCAAGCAATTATACTTCCATTTATGGAACCTCAGTTAAAGCTTCAATTATACTAATTACATTTTTAAAAGAAATCGTTTCCTTTTTCCACACAATTCTGCGGCTAATTTGAATAGATTGAAATGATAGAAAAAATTCCAGCTGTGGTAGGGAATTATTAACAACTTGAAGATAGCATTATATCAATCAGAATTCACTGAAAAAAATTTGATATTGGAAAAATGTCATAACAATATTTGGTTAATATTTTTCTATTCGTCATACACTAAAAATCATAAAATTCAATGTATTTACATTTTATACAATGGTTCGCGATGATGCACAAGTGATAAAGTATTATCGGTTATGGCTTTTCCTACTTGATCCATCCACAGTTGAGCAAAACAACCATCAGACGAGCGGTCTTTTAATATAACTCAATATTTTGACGTATGTGAATTTTTTTTCATGAAAACATATACCTTTGCTATCAATCAATAAATCCATCAGCAATATTGTATTGAAAAAAATGCATATTATGTAAATAATTTGTATATGTGGTGGGAAGATTAGTTAAATTATCATTAGCTCTTCATATCTTTTTTTTATAAATTAATTTGCTTGAAAATAATCAACTCATAATTACCTAATATTAATATTTTTTTTAAATTTATTATTCTTCATTGTTCCAAAAAAATTATTATTTTTTATTCTTAAACATTATCAGTTTTTCGATGTCAATGATTGATCATTTTTTTTTATTTTTTGGGGTCAAATTTTTTGTTTATAACATCATTGAAATAAATCAATACCTTGAATATTCGAGTAAGTCGTCTTTTTTTTATCTAAAACTGTAGATATTTATTTCTTTATATCAATAAATATTCAGTAAATTATGGTAAAAATGTATGTAGTTGGTTGTAAATATTATTATCATGGTTGGTTTGAAATAAAACATCTAGAAGAAGCGATAATGTCAAGTTGCCAAGTGAACAGACTTTTAATTCTAGACAAATATTTGTAAAGGACTAGCTTCACACGTCATGATTTATTCATCAAGGGTCAACACCACGAGGTCGTGCATAAGAAAAGTTGAAGTGAAGCAAAAATAAAACTATCATCACCACTTGCCTGTTAGTTTCCGGTTTAGGAGCAAGACAAAATGAAGTCACGTAAAGATGTATCATCGCCATCAAAAAAGCTGCTGATACAACAGGAAAGGCCATTGGATCCCTACGATAAGCTCAAATATCAGATATCAGATAAGTTGTTTCGAGGTGAGAGACTTTCAGGAATTCTAAACAACTTGGAGTCACTTGAATGTAGTGTCGTACCTGAGACACCCATTGAAAGTTGTTCCTCTTGGTCGACGGATGCATCTAGGCAGGATGAAGCTGTTGCCTCGACTGTAATTAGATCCGACGGATTTTGCAAGGAAACGTGCAAAAGGAAGGAACTCTATTACACGATTAAAGCTAAAGTTGAAAGAGCTATCCAAGTAAATTATTATCTTAGTTTATGGAAATGGTGTGATATTTCTTTAATATATGTTTTGATCATTCACTAGGAGCATAAAGTATTTTTAATTCGTGGAGATCTACCGAAGCTCGAGGAAGCTCTTGAAAAAAGGGGATGGGTTCAAAAGTACGAGTCAGTCAAAATGCGCATGCTACCTTACCAGAGTACATCAGTTCTTGAATCCCAGTCTTTTGGAAGCATCGACCAAAATGATAGAACGTTGAATGAGAAAGCACTTATTTTTTCTTTTTTACAATACACCCCTCCTGATTTTATTTGGGACTGCCGTAATGACTTTGTCCAATGGGATACCTCATTGGGAAATAATGTTCTTTTAAACAGATTTGAGCGATCCTCTGTATACACTTCAAAGGTACTTTATTTTATTTTATGTAAGCTATGTTGTACTAAAGTTCTCAAAGCATTGTTCGTTTATACTTTATAGCTTGGGATGGCTTATATTCTTCAAAATTCTCATTGGCTTCATGGAGATAATGTGTCTACGATTAAGTACCCACGAAGTTACAATCCAAGTCGAGAAGCTAAAGTCTTTCTTGGAGAGTTTCGTCGTACTGCTGCAATAGGATTACTGAAGTGGTTTGTTTCACGAATTCAAAATGATCAAGAAATTCTAGATTCCAGGGAAGAGTCGATTTCTATTAGTCAAGTAGAATTTGCTATTGAGCAATGTGAGGAATTTTTAGCAGAAGAGAAATACGGAAATATAGATGGAGTTGATAACTCTGTAATTTCAGAAGAAAAAAATGAAGAATGGAATCTTTTCTTAGAAGATTACTCGAAAGTGGTACACAAAGGAAATAGAATTGCAAATTCCGGGGATGATATCTACATGAGATTAGAGGTTCTATCAAATTTTATTCTATTAAAAATTTGAGACAAATATGATTCACTTTTCTTTCTTGGAATTTTATTTGTCAGATATATATCAGTAGCACGGAAAATTCGCAAATACTTATTATGTGATTAAATTTTGCTACTTATAAAAAAATTATATCAGCAAAAAAATTTATCCAAATTTTCTGTTGATTTTATTCCTGATAGAAATCCTATTTATCAGCCAATGTGATATTAAAGAAATTGAAAGAAATCGATCCTGAATATGAGCTTAGTGGAATGAGAAATATTTGGATTTTGAAGCCTAGTGATCTTTGCTGTGGAACGGGCATCAGCATATCTCATAGCGTCAAAGACATATTCCGCCGGGTGAAGGCCAAACCCAAGGATTATTTCATCGTGCAGAAATATATCGGTGAGATGATAGGAATCTCATAAATATGTTATCCAACCTATTTCTAACTATTTGCTGATGAAAAACTTTTTTTTTTACTTTTAGAAAGTCCTTTGTTGGTGCATGGAACAAAGTTTGACATACGTCTATGGTATCTCGTCACGTGTACTTTTCCTTTGATCATCTGGATATTTGAGTAAAATATTAGCATTGGAATTCTTTTTCACATATCGGGTTATTGTGTAAATAATGATAGCAATAAATGTTGATTGATCGCCTATTTATACATTGACTTAAGTTTAGTATTCTCTCTTTCAGTAAATATTCATCAATTGAACAATTAAATATTATTAAATTTCTTCTCAATAACCCAATTATTAAAACATTGCTATCATATGTAATCTGTCGAATAAATGGAATATACATTGCTAGAAAAATATTTTTCTTCCAATTTTTACAAAGTATGAAAAAGCATCTAAAATGTTATTTCATTCCAGAGAACCGCTGTTGAGATTTAGTTCGAAAACTTTTTGTTTTGCAACATATCACGAAGCAATTCATCTTTGCAACACTGCGATTCAGCAAAAATATGATTATGAAAAACGTCGGAAACGAATGCGTGGCAATCTTGGTGATGAAACGACGGATTCAATTCGTGATCAAGAATGGAACTGTGCTAGATTGAACGAATATTTAAAGTAATTCTGAATCTATCTTATTTTTTCACGGATGATAGAGAAATAGAATGACAATTTTTTATTCATTCCACTGGTTATACTGTCAAGTAAATTGTCTGGTGTATTATTCAGCAAATATTTCTCTAGTGATTTCCATTTCTTTTTTAAATAGTGGAACTAAGTTTAATTTACCATAAAAAAACCATCAAAATATTTTTCATGTGGTTGTACCATAGAACACAAGGATATGAAGGAGAGCCTTTTTATGATCTCATTTATCCAAAAATGTCCGAAGCAATCGTGCTTTTGATGTTGGCAGCTCAAGACTATTTAGACCGAAGAGCTCGTAGTTTTGAACTATACGGAGCGGATTTTATGGTTCTTGAAGACTTGACGGTTTGGTTGATTGAAATAAATACAAATCCACGCATGAATCCACCAAGTTCAAAGATCACTCAACGGTTGTATAGCTCTGTACTTGAAAGTTTGATCAAAGGTAAGCAAACGGCCCAGATTGACAAGTTTTCCAACAGAACTTGGCGTTTCATTCAACTTGGAGTAAGCAAAAAAAGTTATATGACTTCTCACTCTTATTTTTTTTTTGTCCAGATCCAACTTACTTGACTGCTCTACGTGTTCCAGCATGTTTGTATTGGCGGCACGAGTTGGCTACTAATCAAACAAGCTGGACTTTCGGGAATAGTCTTATTTTATTTATTTTTTTCAAGTTTTCTTTTATTCCAACTCTTGCTCCGTTATAAGTACGAATTATTTGTCCAGAACTTTAATAGAATTTCGATAAAACCAATAAGTAAACTAGGATCTTTTAAAAGAAGGAATCATAAAAAAAAAACCCAAGATTGAGTAATTAATTTCTTATGTAATTTCAGTGATTCTAGATAGGCCAATAAATCCAGACGCTGACACTGGAGGATTTAAGCTTGCTTTCAAACAAAACATTCCAGAGTTTTATCCTAACTGTGGACCGGATCTTTTTGCACTTGATAAATCAAAATTATTGTATGAAAAGCTAAGAAAGAAAAATGATGAAAACGATAAGGTAAATATTTGTGCTCCTCAATGACAGGAAAGTTCTCGTACTTGGACAACACCTTCAGTTTTTCAAGAAAAAGATTTGAAAGTAGAAAATTTACCAACTGCTTGAAAGATTCTTAATTCAAAGTTGAACTGTTATTTTCAACTTTCAAACATTTTAAATCAACCAAATAATTATTTGCAATGTATAAAAAAATTTTTTGTTTAATTTTAAAATATTATTGAATAAATAATTAATGTATTAAGATTGGTTAATAAGTCAAAGACATTTGATTTATTGATATGTACATACAATAATATTATTTACAATTTTTTTTTAGAGATTTTGATGATTTTGATGCCATAGTTAGAGTTTAACATTAGACTTTAACAAAATACTACATCTTTATTGAATATTATGATGTGCTGATATTGGAAAATTTTTTGTTGGTCACATTATTAAATGTAAACAGTAATAATGAAATTTTATACCCTGCACGAGCATTAATTCTTTTCATTTCAATTTTTACGCTCTGGGCAATAGTTCTCACATTATAAACATTAAGTGAATTAAAATAATAGAAATTAAATAAAATACATTTTTGTCATGGTGTATATAGTTGCCATATCCGTGATGCATTGCAGCAGGATGCTCTTCTGGAAGAGAAGAAAAATATTTGCTGTGAATTTTTGCAGCTTTGCTATCGATATCTTCATGGAAGGTAGTGAAATGGTTGATTTAATGGCAAGGGAGGAATAAAATTCACTGTTGAGATTTGAGCGATTGATAATTTTTCAAATTTCTCAAGAATAATGATATTTGAATAATCCAAATGAAAAGTAAACTAAAATTGAATTTATTTCTCGACTCGAATTTAGAAACGAATCAATATTCTGTTGTATAAATTCCTATGCCATTTGTTTTTTGATAAAATTCGCTTGAAATTCTATCAAATTAAAGTAAAAATAAATTAAAAAACTCTGATCGAGTATTTGGATTAGATGAAATTTAAGAGAAATATTGATTATTAATTTACCTTTGACAACGTGGACTCTTATACTGCTGGGATTTGCGTTGCTTGGTTTACAAGTGTAAAGTCCCGAGTCAGTTGGCACTGCATTTTGTATCATTAATCGACTCGACGTCTCACGGCCTTTTTCGGTCACAAGACTGATGCCACCACGTGGGGAATCAAAATTGATATCCTATAAGTATCCAAAATACATAGTAAATCCTGAATTACATTTAAAAATAATTAATCATAATTTTTCAAAAATTTTAATTATAATCATTTCTAGATGATTGAAGTCTTGACTGGATACAAGTGTTTTCTTAACAAAAAGTTGATAGCCAATTTATCAAGTCAAACATTTTTTACTGCTCAAATATTTTCTTATTATTTTAAAATCTTGATTGTTTAAAAAGTTGAAAGATTATTTAAAGATAATTCCCTTAACATATAGAGATTATGATGACAACGCAGTTTAAACTTACCTCGCTATTGTGACGCCAGGTCATTGTAGGTGGTGGATCTGGAGCGTATTTGACGAGGCAGGTCAGGTTAATGGTGCTTCCTTTATTCACGAAAAGATCTGGTTGACCGACTATAATAGTGACAGGCTCTACAACATATTCACATAGATTATATATACGATATAAATTCATGTACTATGTGCATCAATGCAAACTCGTAGAAGTGTACATTTGATGATGTGGTTCCTAAAAGCTCTCTAACTCTTGAGATATACAGTTTGCGGCGAATCAGTTGTATTCACTACGTGGTAGATATTTTATCCTCGATAAACGATTACATTAAGCTCTGAGTTTGGTTAATTTGTATTTAAATTCATTTTAATATTCAGTTTTATGTCGTGATAACAACTACATGTACTAGCATTGTTATTGTTTGATAATAATTTCATCTGAAACTGTTCCAATGGCTGTAGTGTGAAATTATTATTTTATTTGACCTTACAAAAAAACTCTGACAAAGAGAGAGAATTATTAAATCTTTGTATATTATGAAATTTTTTAAACTGAAGTACCCAAAAGTTCTCAATTTATAATATGAAATAATTCATCATAAGTACTATATTTACATTTTTTCGTTTCATGAATAAAAAATTGAAAAGGGTATTTTTAATAAAGAATATTCATAAAATTTGATATAAAAAATTTTCCATTTTTTTTTTTAATTTGAAACGATATTATTAGAGAATGGTAATGAATTTTTTTCTTGCAACTGAATTATTTCTTTTAATATTTCTGATTTATTGATTGGAATCTAGTGGATGCCAAAACGAATTCAAAAGACTGAAAAAAATGAGTTAGAAAAATAGTTTATCTTACCGACAATAGTGAGATAAACTGGATGTCCAATTGGTGGAGTAGTAGATATTTGGCACTCATAGAATCCCGAGTCTTTTCTTTGAGGATATCGTATCTTGAGGGTCCACTCTTCAGTGTGTGGGTGATGTTGAGCTTCAAATCGTTGATCACTTGTGTATGTATATCGACCAACTGTCAACAAGTGAATGTCTCGATGTCTGACCCATGACACCTAGTAAAAATAATTGGCAATTTCAATGAAATCTATTATTTTTAATTAATTCAAAATAAATGATTTTCCATTAAATTGGCTAAATCTGATCTGGTATCACAGATATTTGATCTCAATGTTGATATTGATTTTCTGTTAGTTTTGTTGCGGGTATACTTATATATTGTATACAGAAGACCAAAGATTAATGGGATCCTAAAAGCGTAAAAGCGATTTATCGATCTCATCTTACGGTATCGAAGATACTATACCATTTATTTTTTGATATTTTATGTGAAAATTTTCCCATTTACTATGAAAAATAAATATGAAACAACAATTCATAGTGATGAATGGAAACGCGTTTATTTCAAGCAATTTCATACGACACCTTATCTTCCAGTTGAATCAAAATACATATCTGAATCTTGTCTGCAAACACGTGCCAAAAAGGCTATTCTTGGCGCACCAGCCACCCATTGATTTCCTACCCGTTTTCTTTTCCTTTCGATGCACTTATATGGAAACTGATGTTGATATATAATTTACATTACATCGATATTTTGCTCGCTATTATTTCCTTTCCCATCGGTGTTTCATGAGAGTAATAATACCCTTGTAACAAATTGCCTTTAGATGCTACCAGATAAAGTATAATGAGAGTAATGGTAATTGTCGGACCAATTGTTGACACTTTCTACTGAAAAGCTTATAAAAATACTGGGTTATATGATGATAAATATTTTCTACTAGACTAACTACAGTATACACAAATTTTTTTCCTACAAAACGACTGAGAAAGTACGGACAAAAAGCTAAAGCTTGTAATCTAGGTCGGACGTACACAAATGATTTTTTTTTTAGTCATGTTTCGCTCCTACTACGGTGAGGTATGTACTTCGTGTTTATCTCGTTGACGACTCGTTGTCCTCTCCGTATTCCTGCGAGTCACAAACATATACGGACTATATCCGACATTTTTAAGAGTTTGAAGATGGGAATTACAAAAGAGTATTTGGCAGAATCGGATAAAAAGAAAGGAGAGATGAAAGTAAGTGAACCAGGAAAAACTGTGGTGACTCAGATCAAAATAGGACAAGATTGGAAGGCGACATCGGGAAGATTTTCAATGCCCGATGGAGTGGCATTTGACGTCACTGTCGATTGGAAAATACAGAAATATCTTGAAGCTTTCCTCTACAGTAACTTGAGGAATTTTTCTCTGGGGAACATCAAGACGGAAACGAAATTGTTCTGTTCTCTCGTTACTTCTTTTATCGAACAATGTATTCTTATATAGTTTTCCAAGGGAAACGACTTTAGAAAATCGATAAAAAGATTTCATGATTAAATCGAATATTTTCTCGGATATTAAAGTAATTTATGAATTTATTTATCAAACGATCGTGTTTTAAAAAAAGAAAAAAATCCTCACTCTAGTGATCAGATTACCTTATTGAGATCAATAAGTTCTACTTGATAAATACTTATCACGGATTTTTTTCACTTTAAAGTTGAAGTTAACTTTAACACTTTTACATGAAGAAAAAAAAATTCCACTTTGTTAAATGATTTTTTCATCAATCATAAATAGCTCTTATTAATTACTGACTCAAATAAAATTGATCCTTGAGGCGTAATATTGCAAAAATACTCTTCAATGCAATCAAACATCAAAAGAATAATGCGTAGTGAAATTTAAAAATGTAGTAAACTCATTTAAATATCCTCCATCTTTTATGATTTATATTCAGCTTAAGATTGAATAGATATGAGCGTTTCAGCAAAATATTTTTAATCAGATGATTCAATTCGATTGAAGCCAATAGAGTATAGATGTAGAAAGGAAAAAGTAACTGCGAGAAAGTAAAAAATTATAATTTCAAATATTTTAATATTATAAAGTATATTGGATTCATTTCTTTTCACTTATTATGTTTCTCAGAGGGAAGTTTAGATAAAATGGTAATAAAGTGTATAACTTCTATTGTACTTTATTTGAGTAATTATTCTTCGGGAGATTCGAATGTTAGCTTACCGTGCGGTTACCGAGGTTCTTGACTTTGCAAACCAGGTCGACAGTGTTGCCAACAAGACCGGTGAAATTGGAGGGCATTGAGGTGTCAAAGTGCGGTCCTGTTCCTGGAGTCGGCCATTCCTCTAAGAAGTCTGTTCGGAAATTACGCAAGCAAGTAACAGCACCACCTGTAACATGTCATCAAACCAATATGTCATAAATTTCGCAACTCCGTTCAGAACGCTGTGTTATAACTTGGTTAAAAGCAATTGTTATAAAAACATCCTTATCATGTGTCAAGTTTGACAAAAAAAGACCAATAACAATCTAAAGCATTGTGGAGAATATGAACAAGCCCGAGGGGACTCATGATGAGACTATAATTTCCGTATTTTGGACATACAACCGTTTATCATCTCCAATAAATCCTGATAACATTTCGCAGATACAATAGTGAAAAAGTAGCAAACAATAAAGCTATAATGATTGCAGTAAAACAGAGTGTGAAAATAAAAAATGAAATCGGGAAACAGTGGATGTGAAATTTAAATCCACGTAAAAGTGCTGGTAAAAGAAATAATACAGTTACATACTATTTTGTTACGAGCATATTAAAAAAAAACTTCAATTTTTCTTAGATGATATACAAATCTGTGAATCATAAAAAAAAATCTACAATATTTTTATATTTCTATTTATTTTAAAATCCACCATAAAATATCCTACAAAAGCTTGGAAGATAAAAACAAAATGAGCTATCAAAATGATTGATATAATAAGAAACAAGTAAAGTTATTTTAGTGAACATATAAACGAATATATCAAAATGTCGCCAGAATGTTGGAAAATAATGAATAGTTGAAAATGAACATGGCTGCATTAAATGTTAATTATTTGTTCATTTATGAATGTATCCTTTGCTCGTTGTTGTATGTAGATAAAACTTTTTTCCAATACCGGATGTTCATCGAATGTATTATTATTAATGTACAAACAGTTAATGTGAAATCCGATTGCTCAAGCGGGACGCCAATAACATTCAACATGAGAATAATTAACGATAAGCGCGTGGATGTCCATTAATTCCTCATAAAAAGAGTCAACAATATTTTCTATTGATTGGCTAGGAAAGTGACCATTTAGGCGATTAAAACGACATTTCAATCAATAGTTTAGCCTATCTATTATTATGATACTATTTGAATTATTTCATTTTATCAATTTAATTAAATTCCATTCAATTAAAAATGTAACGACGAATTAATAAAATAAAATATTGTATTGAATTTAATCGAGTAATTTGAAGCTTTTATTGCTCATTAATATTCTGAAAAGTATTAATTATTAATAAAGTGAGTGTAACGAACTTTTCTCATGTAATTAGAGTTTATTAGAGCAGAAAAATATCACAAAAAGAAGGTGAAGTAGAAGATGAAGAATTCTGTTTGTACAAAGAGAACTTGAGAGCGACGATCATGACACTCGATTTTACGAGACCAGCAACTTTCAGTCTCACTTGACTGGTGGAGTTTAAGTCAACGTTTCTGTTGTTCTTAAATAAAAAGAATTTTAATGCGATGTGTATTTATTTGTTAGTAAAAAGACATGATTTTATACTTTACATGGACAACAATAGACACGACAGAATAATAATCTTAAGCACTCTTTTTTTAACCCTCTACACTTTATGTCATTATTTATGCAATACAAATATCTTTTTGAATACGTTTCATGGATTATTATCATCAAAGGATAGCATTTTGAAGCAAAAGTATGTGTATTTAACATTTTTATAAGAATTTTACTTATTTTTTCATTGAAATAAATGAAGCATTTTTCAGATTAAATGATATGGAAAAAATGAAAAGAAGCACTTTCAAATATGCATTCATAGATAAAGCTAGGATGTTAAAAAGCTTAACTTTTCGTTTGGAAAAAAATCAAATTTTTTTATAGAAGCTTTTTTTTTGTGTGGTTAATAGTGAAGTGATGGGTAATAATTTTTATGGTTGATTAAAAGGAAAATTATGGGATTATTTTTACGTACCAAAATAAATAATAAAACAGATGAATGTGGAAAGAGAAGTAGACATCGCTTATTTCTAGCGAGTTCTATCACATTATTATCTACTATCTTGAATACATGTCCAACTACTTCTTCGCAATATTTATTTTGAATTAACAACAACAATTTATTAATTATCGATTATTTCATCATTTTGTAAATTATTTTTAATAATTAATTCACTATTTATTAACTTTATTTATACGTTCACATTTTATATTTATTAAACCTTGTGATTTTTATATGTTTTTTTAATGAGTTTTAATATTCCATTGGCAATTCATTATTTTTATTGGAAAGTCATGTTTTGTTTTCATCTGATCAGTCATCATCCAAGTATACCACTTGGATCCCTGAAGAAAAAAAGTTTGCAGTCGTCGGACGGAATGCAATTATGTATATATTAATTCAGGAGAGTAAATTCCACACACAGTTTGGTGACACAAGAAATAATAAAATGTGTTTAATCGTAATAAAATGGTAGCAATATAATTCCACTGTCACTTAACTTTATAACTGCACTGTACATTTAAATGTTGGCTTTTGTAGTTTTTTCGATGTTCATGAATATTAAATTTCTCATTTATTCAGATCTTAATGCAAAAAAAAAGAACAAATTACGTCATTTTGTGGACATGGAGAAACACAATCACTGTAAAATTTTGAACTTAATTTTCAACGATTCACAATTTTTTTATATCGATACAAATGACACTTAATTAAATGTTTTCTTTAATAAAAAAAATATTTATCGTCGACCTCAAGCACTTGTCAAATAAATTCCTGATGGATATTCCGGATGTCTGAATATTGATATTGACTGGGCAGTGTTGATAGCATGGGTTTAGAGGGGATAGGGCTTCAGAATATTGTGTTGCAAGAGTGCGAGATTTTGTGAGCTTGATTAACGAATAGCACAAGCAATAGTGCGAGGAGTAGGATGTGCTCTTTCGAAAACGATGCTCCCGCGTCAAGGATAGCTGAGGGACTACATTGCGCGAGCGCTGCTGAAGAGTAGAGCACGCAGTCGCCCCCATGTAGGGAGATGATGCTATAGATATACATTTACACAACCCCTCTTTCTCTTTCTCACTTCACCAACTACTACCTCTTCTTCTGCTATTACCTGCGGGCTTTGCATTGATAAAGATGAGAAAAACTAAGGGAGTTTGGATTATACAATAACTCGAGTGTTGACGAGAAAATAATTTAATCGAAGACAGTAGCACTAGACTTTTCCTTTATGGTGGCCTTCTACAACATAATTAACGAACGTCTTACAGAATAAAAAAAGTCATAAGTTTGTAAATTAAAAGTTGAGGTGGATTTTAAAAGAAATGAAAGTGTTTCTTACATCTTAAAGAGACTTTTTGAATACTTTATTGCTTTAATTTTAATATTTATAGATGAATTAATTTTAAATAGAATTCTTTACAGATACACTCAGGGACGTAATTGATTGTGTCTCAGGTAAGCTGATTAATAGATGCTGTTCAGACGATCAATCCATTTTTAACTCTATAGAAAGTTGAAATGAAAATAGAATTAATTATTTTTAGATTTCTTTATGAGTTCAAAGATTAAAAAAATTTGAACAAATAAACAGTTTTTTTTATTTAGTTTCTTTATAAGTAAATTTTTTATTTTCCGTTTCAATAATAAAAATTGAATGATTTCGATTACAATTTTTTTCGAATGAATAATCAATTGAATTTGTCACTTTAAAAATTGAAACCTCCGTGTATTCTATTTGAATCAAAGCTAAATTCGTGTTTATCTATTTGAAAAATATAAACAACTTTCACGAAAACTTATCGTCCTTTTCAAAATGTAAACTGGAGTATTAGATTAATATATCAATTAATTGACGATTGGATGTAAATTGAATTGAAATATTTGATATTTTTTATAAAGTTGCTTGAAGGAAAACTGATGCTGTAGGAAATGGAATTCATTGCAAAAGAGATGAATGTAGAATAAAATATATATAGAAATTATAACTTTCAAGTTAAACATGGACAGGTTATAATTAGCATGAACTTTAATTACAGTGTGGGATTTCTCTTAGATTTGGATAAAGAGAAGCGGGTTGTGTTCATATGCATATGTAAATTGTGAGTCAACTCTATGGCAAATCCAGCGGGATAAGGGAGTCGAACCTTGAAACTACAGTTCACTTATTTCTCATGTCATGTGAAATTTAATTAATGGATAAATGGATAAAATTTCATTTACAAGGCGTTGGATTCTTTCAACTCAAAAGAATATGTAAGCTTTGATTGACAATAAAATTGTAAAGCTCTTGACAGTGATTTTCACAGCGCTTTGTACTTGAGTCTTTCAAAGAGCAATGCACAATAGACGGTGTACCACTATAGGTAGTAATGTAGAGGTAGAAAAATAACACAAAAATCATTTAATCATTTGAAAAAAAAAAATTTACTTGAGCAGTTATTTATAAAAAAATGTATTTATTCTTTACTTTTATTAGAAAAATTTACTTCAAATACTTTTTTAAAATGCCTAGTAAATAACCAACATTATTCAGTGAAAGACTAGTTCATAAAATATTATTAATTGCAAACTTTGAAGTATATTAATTACTATTTAATATTCTCCAAAAAAAAAAAGCCAATTTTTCAATGGAAATAATTTTCGTTAATAGTTCTGTAAGTATTTTTACGTGAATAATGATAAATAAATTATTATATATACTCTATATAATTGATTTATTATTAAAAATATTGATAATTCAAGTTGTTAGGGGACATAAGCCGATTTTTATTGGCATTAATAAAAATTCTTGAAACTCTCATGAATGTTTGATATAAAATGGTACCTCTCTAATATTTAATAAATTAACTATCGCTTTAATTAAATCGTCAAATCATGATAAATATTGATGACACAAAGTGAACGTGATCTTAAGAAGCTTATCAATGCGATCTCTGAATTTTTAATAGACATTAAAAGAATTCTTAAGTGACAAGTGTAGACACGAGATCGATATATGTATATGTACTCCGAATTGCCTGGGACATAATCGATGGATAGTGATAAGGAGTGGCGGTAACTGCGCATTGATAGATTGACTATAAGTGGTAAGGAACGATCCCCGTTATTTCGATGATTACGACGTTGAATTCCTTGGAATATTTTGAACATTTTTCAAATACTAAAAATATTCAAATTCATAAATAAATAATTTGAAAATTTAATCGGATGTTTTGTCAGTTCCTCCAATTAACTTCTCACCATATTCTCACCATTCTCAGTTATGTCAATGGATTAATACTATACAAAAATAATATGAGAAAGTATGTTAATAATTCTCTATATAAATACCTAAAATAGTGAACAAAAATTATGAAGAAAATTTGTACACTATTAATTTTTTATCAATTGGAATATTTCACTTGAATATGAGTCGTAAATATACTAATCATGTCACATAGAAAATTTTCCTTAATCCAATTATAAAGCTATAAGCTTTCCTATTTTGTTACATACTTTTATATTCAATCACTGATTAGTCATTTTACATTCAATAAATCTTCAATAGCTTTGAAAATTCAGCTAATGATGAAACTTAATTTCTTCAAAGAGTAAAACTTGTTCAGTATGCCATGAAATTGGACAAAAAAATTCTCTGCATATAAAGCCAAATCAGAGAAATCTAATTTCAAGACAATTTGTAGGCAATGTGGAATATTTTTGCAATAATATACAATTATTGGAATTATATTTTTTCCATGTAATTAATTCTTTCAAGAAGAATAGTAATGAAAATAATGGAATAAATTTCCGGTTTCATAACTGGCTGTGTGAAAGCTCGAATAAAAAGTCTCTTCACTTCTTTTAATCTAGAAACATCTTTTAATATTCTTACTTAATATTCTACTCTATTTTACTATCTTGGATCTAAAACGTGTCTACTCTTATATATCTATATTTTTAAATCCCTTACTTTCCAAGAAGTTCTCACCTTAGTGACTGCTACTCGTTGATGTAATTTAACTGTTAAATATTTTTAATAACATGGGTTTCATATAATTGTGTTTGTTAGAAATATTATAATTAGAATAGTGTTAGAATGAGGAGATATTAAGTATGCACTGTTGCGTTAATATTATTTCTAAACCACATCAGTGACATACACCACAACTTAGCAAAACATTCACAATGAAAAATGATGTAAAATTATTGAAATTGCTTCAGGCCATAGTCACAATAGTGCTAAGATGTTCTAGAAAGTATTCATCTGGTTGGACATTTGCCAACTCATCAGTAACTCTGGGTGTGGTAAAGCTGAATCAAAAGAATTCGGTCATTTTTCTTTTTTCATTCTATAAAAGTATGTGATGTATACCATCTTTTTTATAACATTGCTTACTCAAGTTTTATCACGTGTTATGTATATAATTCATACAAAAAAAGTCCTTAAGCCTGATATCACCTGAATTTCCTTTCTCCTATGATTTTTTTCCTCTTTTACAGTGTCTCGCAGAAGAAGAGTCGGAAATGAAAACAGTGATGAATTCTGAATATCTTTTTGTCTCATTCTACTTAGTTGGCTTTTTTTTATCATAATGATACATACGTTATTTTCATTTTTATTTTTGTCTGGGGACATATGTTTACTTTTTAATGTTTAAAACTTCTGTTATTATGTGCAAACAATTTGGAAAAAGAGCCATAAACAATAAATGAAAGTAAAAATGTGTTTCTCTCTTTGATGGTAAACAAAAAAAAATGAAATTTTTTCTTGTATGTATAAACTCAAATTCTATTTTTATTCATGTCGATAACAATACTTAAAAAATCCTGAGTATGAAAAAAAAGATATTTTCCCATTGGAATAAAGTTTTATTATTTTTGATTTTACAGTGAGAAAAAGTTTGCTAATAAAAAGAACGATTAAACCTTCTTTATGTTTTTAGTCTTCATCATTTTTTTAGTAGTTTTCAGTGTATCTATTTAAGAAAGTTTCAATGGTTAATATTCCCAATTCTCTAAACTTCACCATTAATTCTTACTTAATTTTATTGCAAATTAGTTTCATGGAAATTTCACGATAGATTATTTATCAGTTTTACTAACATTATTTATTCAAAATCACTCTTTTTATTGGTAATGTGGCTAATGAAGAATCGAACTTTTAGAGGAATACCTTCCTTATTTTTACTATGAATTTTATTTCAAAGTATTAAAGACTAGTCAATAAAGACACCATAAAAATCTATCATAATACTTTATATAAATAATAGAAAAGATAGTGATGTAGTTACTCCTTGAATAACAAAGTATGAAGAATTCGTAAAGTTACTATTGTAAAAATAAGTAGGCAAATATAAGCAATAAGGATAGATACAAGCAATAAGATAGAGATACAGTTTACGATAAAACGAAAATATTCATATTAAAGTATATTTTTTTGTCTCAATCGTTATTTCCTTCATACAATCATTTTTCTCTGGTATTAAGGTATTCTAAGAATTGTGAACTTCTTGTATTGTATAAAATTCCAATAAAAATATATCATCGCTAATAGTTAATGATCAATATTTATCAATGAGAGAGCAGAAACAAATGGAATGCAAAATGAAATACTAAACTTTCTGAACATTGCGAATGGTTTGATGATTCCGCTCTTGGCATAAGTTCTCAAGGGATAAATTAAACCGATCCCATTTTGTCGTGTTCGATTGGGAGTTGTTATGAGTATTCCCGAAGGAGCTAGGTTTACTGGAAATACACTACTAGTAAGTGGAATTTGGACTCGCGAGAGAGCGTTAACGAGCATTTACATGGCCATTTACGCGCTTGACTCGTCAATGTATTCCGGACAATTACATACATACGTGGGCAGAGAATCGTATAAACAATTCCGTTTTGAATGTCCCACAGCGAAGTGTTCACTTGGGTAGTGTTCAATTCAATAGAATTCCCGATTGAGGTGTTGACTATCT